CTACATATGTGCGGATGAATTATTTTTTTTTATTTTTTTTGGTTATAGAAGAGGGCAAAGAACGCCCAAAACGAAGAAAATTAAATAGGTGGGGATCTAGATCCCAAACACTCTTCAGCAACTAATCTCCTTAGATGAGAAGGACATGTAGTCAAAAAAGTGGTCTTAGACAAACCATCCTTTGCAAGAGAATCTGCAACTCGGTTTTGCTGTCTAGATATATGCGAGATTTCGACCTCCCACTGGCGCTTTAGCATCTTCATAATCTGGATGATCACAAGGCTGCAGATGGTCCTGTTCCTCTTTCCACTAATCACATCTACCACATTTTTTGAATCAGATTCAAGAATTATTTTCTTAAACCCCATTTCCCAAGCCAAATTGAGGCCTTTGTACACAGCCCATTCCTCTAACTCAAGAGCGCTGCACGTACCAAGAGCTTGTGAAAAGCTTGCAATCCAATTCCCATAATTATCCCTTATCACTCCTCCACAACTTGCTCTGCTAGATGACGCTGACATTGCCCCATCTACATTAACTTTTATCCACTCTGCAGGAGGCGTCTGCCATTTAGGAGAGCTACTAGACACTGGTTGACTCCCCACAGTTGGTCTGTCATTTATCTGCACGAATAATTTCCAAGAATGCATAATAAAGAAAGCAGGATTTACTGGTTTCACAAAATCATCCACATAAATAGCATTATTCCGCCATAGCCAAAGTTTCCAGCAAGCAACTCCCCATATAAGGTTCCATCCTGAAGACAAATGTCTTCCTAATTCTTTTTTAAGATTCAAGCTCATCCATTCTCTCAAAGATGCAGCAAAGAAAGCATTCTGAAATTTAGTATCCACTAGTTGTAAACACATCTGTGTAGCATACTGACAATCACGGAGCACATGTAAGGTATTCTCAACCTCTAAATTACAATACTGACATAGAGGGGAATTGGCAGACCGCTTACGACGCCAAGCATTAGTGGGTAATCTATTATTATAAACTAACCATAAAAAGACTCTTATTGTTTCAACTCCTTGCCAGCTCCAAATCAGATTATAAGTAGAGCTATATAAATTAGGAGGATTCCTCTCAATCAAATAATAAGCACTTTTAACAGTAAAATTACCATGGTTAGTACCTTTCCACATCATCACATCATTTCCAGCACTAGCTAAGGGTGGAAGTTTAGCTATTAGACGTTGGATGACTTCACTTGAAACAACCGAACCAAGCCTCGTAAAGTCCCATGTCCCATGCGCAACCCACTTTGCTACAGTCGAGTCATTCTCCTCCTCTGATAAAGGTCTTATACACAACTCTTTAATATTCTTGTCTGGAAATAGCCATTTATCGTTGAAGAAGTTGACAAAAATTCCATTTTTGACTTGCCACTGTGTACCTTCCTCAATAAACAATTTTTGCTAACAAACGAATTGCTAAAGCTTTGAGTCACCTGGCTGTACCATTAACAAATCAGACTCGCTTCTACTCATATACTTGTGCTGCAAAACATCAGCCCATAATCCACTTGAACCCGAGATTAAGTTCCAGGCCAGCTTACATCCAAAGGCACAGTTAACTTAGGAGAGTTTTCTAAGCCCAAGGCCACCATACCCTTTAGGTAGCGATAGTTGTTTCCAACCAATAGGGTGCCAACCATGGTTTTCATTGGTATTGCCCCAAATAAAATTCCGTTGTAATCTTTCAACCTCAGTGCAGATACTCTTAGGGATTTGAGCTACTTGCACAGGATATAAAGGCACAGTACTGATTACCGACTTTGCTAGAGTTATGCAGCTTGCCATAGAGAGACTTCTAGCTTTCCAAGCAGCAAGCTTTGATTTAACTCTATCTAAAATATATTGGAACGTCTCCTTAGTTTTCCTTTTTCTGGATAGAGGAAAGCCAAGGTAGACTCCAATTTCATCAGTGACTTTCATCATAGTCCAACTCTGAATGTTTTTCCTCACTGAATTTTCTACCTTGGGGGAAAAAAGATAGAAGACTTTGCAATACTCACTTTCTCTCCTGATACCTTACAGAAGAGCTGAAGACAATTCATCATAGAAGTAGCTTGTTCTTCCGTAGCTTCTCTAACAATATGTCATCCGCAAACATTAAATGGGACACTGCAGGTCCATTTTTACGGACATAAATAGGCTTCCTCCGATCAGATTTCACTTCATCACTAATTATGTGAGAGAGTCTGTCCATGCAAATCACAAACAGTAAGGGAGATATAGGATCTCCTTGACGCAAACCTCTTGAGGGAGTAAAATATTCAGCAAGATTACCATTCCACAAGACACTATATTTTACCGAGGAGACACAATTCATAATGAGTTGAATAAAATTAGATTCTAGTCCTACATCCTTTAGCACTTGCTGCAGAAAATCCCATCGTAATCGGTCATAAGCCTTTTCAAGATCAATCTTCCATGCCATGAAGCCTCTTCGGCCTCTAGATCTCTTCATAGTGTGCAGAATTTCTTGCCCCACTATTATGTTGTCTTGTATATGACGCCCTTTAATAAAGCTGGCTTGAAAAGGGGAGATCAATTCATCTATTATACCTTTCAATCTTCCTGTAATCACCTTTGTAATACATTTATAATGCACCGAACAGAGAGAGATGGGTCTGAAATGAGAGACATATTCTGGATTATCTTTTCTAGGAATCAGCGTAATCAAAGTTTTATTTGCCTCAGTCATAGACAACCTACCATTGAAGACACCTTGCACAAACTCACATATAGCATTGCCCACTATATCCCAGTTGGATTGAAAAAATATAAGAGAGAACCCATCTACACCCGGCGACTTATAAGGACCCATGGAGAAGATAGCCTGTTTAATTTCCTCATGAGAAGGAACCATTCCTAACTTGCTCAACACAGACATTTCAATCAACGGAAAAGAAGACTCCAATTGTAAATCAATTGGATAATTATCTTCATTCTGGTATAAGGATTTGAAGAATTGCACAACCAGATTTTTAAGCTCTGCCTCATCTTCAACCCATTTACCGCTACTATCCTTTAAGGATAAAATTCTATTCCTTCTCCTTCCTATATTAGTCTTTAGGTGGTAATACCGAGTATTCCTATCCCCTTTTGTAATCCAAATCGATCTGGACTTTTGAAACCATTTAATCTCCTCTTCTTTAAGAGTAACTTCTAATTCTTTCTGCAGTTGTAGTTCCAGACTAGTTAAAAACATAGAAAAGGGATAGGACGCTGATTTTTGAATTCCATTCAATCTAGCAAGAATGGTCTTTTTCTTTTTTTCCACGAGCCCAAAAACCTCTTTATTCCAAGAGATAATAGCTTTCTTAAAATCTTCCATATTATCATCCAAGCCCATATTCCCATTCTAGTTTGACTTCACAAAGTTTGGAAAGTTTTCATGGATTTGCCACATAGCCTCAAAATGGAAAGGTTTGGTTACCTTTCTTATATCATATTGAAAACTCATGTGAAGAATAAGAGGATTGTGATCAGAAAATTGGATACGAGGCAATACCTTTACAAAGCAGTCAGGCATCAAGGTCAAGTATAATTGATTACCCAGTGCTCAGTCAAGCCGTTCAAAAAGTCTTAAATTTCCAGCAATATGTGGGCCTTTCCAAGTGAAGCGAGGACCTATAGATCCCAAATCTGTAAGACTGCAATCAAATATTCTTTCTTGAAACCATTTCATTCTGTTTGTTGTTTCTCTTGTTCCTCCTACACGTTCAGCAGCTGAAAGGAGGTCATTGAAATCTCCATAAACTATCCAAGGTTTAGAGATTCCAATAGAAAGATTAAATAATCTTTGCCACAATAATTCTCTGCAGTTCGAATGAGGGAGAGTGTACACAGCTGTTAAAATAAAAGAAGGACGATTTGCAAAGGAAACATCCAGATGGAAAAATTGCCTCTCTTCTATGAGTACCGAAACCGAAATTTGAGTGCTCCTCCAAGCTGCAACTAAATCACCTGATCTTCCTTGACTAGGAATCACACGAATTTCATCAAACCCCAAAGAAGAAAGAGGTCGGAACCGAGACTCATCACTGCATCTGGTTTTTGAGAGTATTATTAAATTGGGTTTGGGTCCATTAATCACAGCTTCTAAATTTCTAAAGAGACCTTTACCGCAGGCCCCTCTAGTATTCCAATAAAGGATACAATCCATAAAAAAGTAATACTTATTAAGAGGTCACAGCCCAATCAGAACCCACCAGTGATTTGGGTTTCAGGAACCACGATATCATCACTGTTGGCACATGTTCCACCATCTCCCCCCATTGGGCTATCCAAAATCGGCCCAACATCTTCAGGCCCTGAAACAAGCTCCATCATGCTCCGTTCTCCCGGGTCATGAGGCAGAGAAGGGTAATTGTTGTGAATTGTTGTGTTAAAACATCCAACATCCTCCTTTGGGCCCATCTCGTTATTGCACTCATGATTGGCACGTGAGCTCTCCTCCCCCAATTGGATCATATCCTCGTCTTCTTTCCCTTTTTTCATTCTCTCTATTTGTTCCCTTGTCCTTTTCTCAGTCCGTCTCACCATATTCTACTCTGGTTGTTGTGGGACATTCTCAACGGGCACTTTGCTGATAGCACTCCAAATTTCATCATTTGTCATATTCAACAAATCATCTTTTCTGTCCTTTGCTTTACGTACCCTCGTAGTGCTACTCGTTGTGGTTTGTATGGCAAGGATGATGCTCATTTGTTGCCCCTCCAGTACCCTTCCTGTTTCTCTCTCTTGGACAGCTCCGTCCACATCAGCAAGGAGAGAGAATCGTGAGGCCATCGGATTCTGTCGTGCCGCTTCACCTTGCTTGTCTCTGCTTTTCTGTTGACGGCATAATTTCTGCACCACTTTCCATTGTTCTTCCATCGGTTTTCCATATCCATCAACATTCATTCTCTGTTCATCTTCTACATTAACAGGGGCATTCATATCTTCTTTCGAGACTTCTTTATCATCCTTCTTCAATGGGCATCCGTCTTACCGGTGGCCATAGACACCACAGTTTGTGCAAAGAAGGTGTAAACCTTCATACTCTAAGTAGTAGTTCTCCCCATCAACTGAAAACCCAGACATTAGTTGCTTAGTGAGATCTACCAAGACGCAGATTTGAGCGTAGTGCCCTCTAAGTTGGCATGAAGTATTCATATCAATCTTAATAGTTTCCCCTATCCTGTTTCCAATCATTGTCAAAGCTTCTTTGTCATAATATTCCAAGAAAATTCTCGGCAACCTTACCCACACTGCAACTTTATCAATGCTTGCTCTATTAGACTGAAACTTTGGTTCCCATGGCCAAACTGTTAGATAATGATCAAAAATCATCCAAGGACCCCCAGTTAAAGCATTCCAGTAGTCCTCTCTATTCGAAAACTTCACCACATAGTATCCATATCCAATGTTGATTAGTTTGGTCACCCCTCTTTTTGCCCACATACCTTGCAACCTTGACTTCAGCGCCTTGAACCCAATGCTTCTACCAAGGAGCTTTAAAATCACAGCCCTCTTCCATGCTTTATACAGCCGCTTCTTCATTCTTCCCGAGAAAACAAAAGTAGGAAAATTTCTTTTGGGATCCTCAATCATACGACACAAAGGCTCATCATTCTCCTGATTCTGTTCCTTATCAGATAAAGAATCATCAGAAATTTCTTCATAGTCCTCCTCTGTACCGTCTTCTTCATTAGGTTCAACACCCTTCAGCTTATCTGCAAATGAAACAGTTCCTCTGCTACTCCTAGTCTTCTTCTCACCCAGTGCAGGCCAATGCTCTGAGAGTAGATTCCCTCCCTGAGCATTATCCCCATTCTTGATTTTCTTAGAGCTTCTCGTTATTAAGTCTTCTTCTTCTCTTGACTGAGGCACAAGCAAGCTTTTCTTGCTAGAGGGAATCAGAGAGTTAGTTGCCATTCCTATTTTGTGAATTATTTATTTTTACCGGGAACAAATTAGACGATGAAATGGGCCCAAACCAAACCAAAGGAGTCGCATGGGCCTAATACATCAGAGGGGCTGATGGTACTTTATAACTAAGATTAAGAGCAATTTTAAAGAATGCTGGAAGTCCAAAGTTGTTGACTGACCTAGGGCCTAGCTTGTTTCCAATATTAGGTTCTGTTTTACTAAGATCTATGTAAGTACGTACTTCACATCTTATTGCTTCATGTATTTTCTGTTGAATAAGAAATTTCTGATCCCTTTGAATCTTATCATGTAAAGCACCATGCATGAACATGATAATGTTGTGACTATAGCAGGAATACATATGGGCCTATTATAGTTTGAATCCAAATAAGGTTGAACAATTTAAATTTAAATTGATAAAAAGTTTAATTGTATTCATGAGCATTTTTTTTTATCAATAATAAGAAATAAAGTTATGGTTGAGATTTTTTAAATTCAAATTTAAGAGATCAAAATCATCAATGCAATAAAACAGAAAACTTTATATTCTTTTTTAAAATATTCAATGAATTAATATAACAAAAAATTACGGTCATTCCTTGGCTCTCTGTGTGTGTGAGAGAGAGTACCCCGTCAAATTAAAGCCTCAAAAGTCAAGCTGCCAATGATCATTCCTTTCAAGGTATCATTGATGACTGTTTTCATAAGTTTCGCATATATGGAGAATGTAAAAAGTACCACTAATTATCTAACTGGATAGGGTCTTGAAATTATAGGCTTGTTAATAACAGATTTTTTAAAGGGAAAATCCCAAAAAAGGTCTTTGGAATATGAGAAATATCAGATTGGGTCCTTAAATTTCGAAAATGACAAAATGGGTCATTGACCCAATCTGTCATTTGTGAAATTCAGGCGAATTGACAATTTTGCCCTCATTTATTCATTCACTACAATGATTCAAGGAATCACTATAAGAGTTTAGGTGTTACCTAAATTCGTATAGCGAATAACTATTCACTTTTTCATAGTCAGGTGTCTTGTTATTAACTACAACTAATGCTGTAATCACTAGAACAATGTAAGCATTACCTAAATTTGTGTAGAGAATAACTACTCATTTTTTCATAGTCAAGTATCTTATTATTGTCAGGTACCTTATTATTAACTACAACGAATCTTGTAATCACTAGAACAGTGTAAGCGTTACCTAGATTTGTTTAGAGAATAACTACTTACTTTTGCTCAGGGGCAAAAATGTCAATTCGCCTGAATTTCACAAATGACAGATTGGGTCATTTTATTGACCCAATCTGTCATTTTCGAAATTTAAGGGCCCAATCTGGGATTTGGCATATTCCAAGGGTTTTTTCTGGGATTTTCCCTTTTTTAAACAATTAAAAAGGACAATATGATTATTTTAATAAACTTTAAAATCCCTATTTATACCTATATGATTAAAAAAGAATTTTTATTCTTCAGATAACTATTTGGATGCTGTATGGCAGATCAGAACTCAGAAGAGCCCCACAGTTACTATTGTGCGGTCACTATCTCCGTACATCAAGTGGTTCAAGCTCTTTATGGCCATTGCACATGCATGGTTGCCGAGCGCAGGTGTAAGTACAAGGGTAGTGAAATTATTAAGAGAATTACGGGTCAAGTCCCAAAAACAATAATTAATAAAAAATTTCAGTGATAACCTAAAAAAATCTATAATAACAAATTTCAGAATAAAAAATAATAATTTTTTAAACTTATTTTGTAATTATTATTTTTAATCTCATTGTAATTCTCTCGAAATTATTTTCTTGGGGAGCAGCACCTTTTCTATGAGAACGACATATTCTCATCCTCTCGTTCACACGAGATATAACGATCTTCCCTTCATTTTAAGGTAATTGTCACCTTAATTTGGAGTTATACGTAAATACCCTAATGTTCCCAAAATGAGAGAGCAAAAGAGTAGAAGGAATAGTAAGACGAAATTGGGAGAGAGAACAATTGAGTTTTCTCGCTTCCCCCCCCCCTCCTTTTGCCAATGCACATGACTTCAACTCTTTGTTTTTGCCAGCATGTGCCTTAACTATTGCAGTCTGGTCCTATGATCACAAAGGAAGAATATAATCACATTAACAATAAGAAACCTTCTCAAATCATTTATTGCAGATGTTACATTCATGTTTAGAACATTTAAGACAAATAATCCTAAGAGTTAAGAGTGATGGACATTTACACATGCAATGTTTATAATTCTTCCGGTTCATAATGCAACACATTAGTTAAGCTTTCTGGCAAACGAAGTAATGTTGATTAAATCATTAAATATGTTTTAAATTAATAAAGGTTACCTATTTTATTCTTATTAAAGAATGAGGTTGGGAAACTCTTTAACCTCTCTTCTTCATTTAAAACTGTCTTTCTTTCTGCGAAAAAAGCTAAAAGTGAAAAACTATTATTAATTACTCTATCAATATCTTATATTTTGAACCAAAATTTTCTTCTAAAATACTTCTTATAATATGGAGAAGTGGTAATAAATAGACTTGATAATATTTTATTAAAATCCTTATACTTCCTCCATTTTAAAATATAAATCTTTTAAAATTGAAGTTATGCTTACAAAATTTTTGTAACCAAAAACAGGAGTGTATATTATTAATCACACAAAAAAAATCATAGTACGCGCGCAAATAGCCAAAACCAAGAAACGTGAAGGAGACCGAAAGAAAACTCACAGTGCAACTTATCAGGAAAAAAATTGACAAAAACTATAGAAACTATTGACTACATTACCAAATTTATCCTTAGTTAACGTGATGAATAAATTAAAGTCATTGAAGCAAACAAGGATATTTCAAAATAGTATTAGTAAATACTTCTTCTTTTTTTGCCACCGAGTAAATACTTCTTTAAACTTCTAGAAAGACATATAAAATGGAACGAAAATGTTTGTAAAAAAGACTTATCATAATTTGAAAAAGAGGGATATTATTATGATGATTAAAATAAACACTCCTAATTTATTGGAGGATGAAATTAAATTATATTGTGAAAAAACTTTACATTTTCTTGAAAGCCTAAAACAACAATCATCTTGAAACAGAACTCAACCCGAGTGAATATATATCCTCCTGCCAGCTGAGATGCTAGGAGTTACAAATGGTCTAGAATTCTGTTGGAATCCGGGAATTAGGAAAGTGGAAGCATGTTGCGATTGGTCAGGAGCCATCAACCTTTTTCTCTAGAATCAAGCCAATAATCATTCCTTTCAAGATACCATTGATGATACCATCAAAATTTTAGGTTGTTTTCACAGATTTTGCATATAGAGAATGTAAAATCTAACTAATTAAACAGAGCCACTGATTTTTTTCCCTCTGATCTCTGCATTGTTTACCTTCAATGGTGAACAAAGTTTCTGTTTTATTATTCATAAAAGGAAAAAAAAATCAATCAACTCCCCAAAAATGACGTTAATAATTTTGGAACAGTAGGCTAGTATGGTATGGTCATTGGGAATTATAGTACTCCTTCAGTCCTAAATGTAGGACCCTTATATAAGGGTATAAGGGTCTTATATTTAAGACCGGAAGAATACATCGAGTGGTTGAATTGCCTGATTACTCGTGGTTGGGGAGTTAAAAAGGGATGCGGCTTCTCTCCTTGATCCCTTCCCATCCATTGCCCTTCTTTGCCTGAAACTGCAACGTTTTGGTGTAGTTTAGTTGAGGTGGTACTTTTTGTAAATAAATATCTAATATTCTAAAATATTATTTTGGTATCACTTAGTCTCTTAAAATGTATTTTTCAGCATCACCTAGTATTCTAAAATAATTTGTGATCCCATCAGAGTCTTGAAATATTTTCTCTTTGACACATAGTATATGACTCTTAGCACACTGAAATATTTTCTGAATACCATGTAGTATCCAAAGACATTTTTTAATTGGCACTTAGTTTCTTCAAATATTTTTTGGTGCAATATTTTAGGGTATTGAATGCACTAAAAATTAATGTGGGATACTAGGTGTTACTGAAAAGTACTTTAACATGCAGGAAGCTAGACACTGGGTGTTACAGAAAATTTTTTTAGGGCTTGGACTAGATCAAACATTATTTTAGAATATTGGGATGTATTGGAAAAAAAAAAAGGAACACTACATGGTACTAATAAAAATATTTCAATGTGCTAGAAGCTAGATAGTAAGTGTTATAGGAAAAATATTTTATGGCTTTGATTGAACCAAAAATTATTTTAGAACATTGGCTATGTGGTATTGAAAAAAAAATACTTTAGTATGCTAGAAACCAAATACTGGATTTCATAGAAAAAATATTTTAGGGCTCTAACTGAGCCAAAAATTATTTTAGAATAATGGGCGATATTAAAAAAATATTTCAAGATACTAAGTGATACTAAAAAGACACTTTAGGATATTATATGCTGATTTGACCCCCAAAAAAAAAAGGTTTCACCTCACCTAAACTCCACCAAAATGATGTAGTTTCAGGTAAAGGACGGTAGCAAGTGGAAAGGGGTAAAAGAGGGAAGCCGGATTAGCAGTTGACTTCTGGCATTGCAAAGACAATACTTACTAGTTACTGCAAACCATCTACCTCAGAATTTTGTTGTTGAAAAAATTACAGTGAAGTTTCAAAAAACAAGTTATTAGAAGATCGTAATAACAAGTGAGCAGTTAAATTTGTTGTCATTTCCACTCTAGCACTTATCATTACAAGTACTCAGTTGTTGTCAGATTTTATGTGAATATGTTTCTTCTTTAGAACCCTATTGCAATTCTCTCCTTTTTGTTTGCTAATTGGCAAGCGGATAGAACATTATAGGACTTCAACCCTTAATATAAGTCACTTTTAACACGTTAACAAGAAATATATTAAATTGACATATTTTGTAATTTTACCCTTATTAGTTAAATTTTTTTCCTCAGTCTCTATATTTACAAATAATCATTTTCATATTTCTCCATTCTTTCTCTCTTTATAAT